GCCCGCCCGGGCAAGTCGAGGTCGGTGGGCCGAGCGATCTCACGGTGGGCTCGAAGAGCCTTCCCGCCCCAGCTTCGAGCCCGGCGCGCCGACGTCGAACGCGCTCGAGAGAGAGAGAGAGAGAGAGAGAGAGAGAGAGAGAGAGAGAGAGAGAGAGAGAGAGAGAGAGAGAGAGAGAGAGAGAGAGAGAGAGAGAGAGGAATAAAATAGAGAGAGAGAGAGAGAGAGAGAGAGAGAGAGAGAGAGAGAGGAGAGAGAGAGAGAGAGAGAGAGAGAGAAAGAAGAGAGAGAGAGAGGAGAGAGAGAGAGAGCGAGAGAGAGCGATATATATATATATTATATATACAGAGAGAGAGAGAGAGAGAGAGAGAGAGAGAGAGAGAGAGAGAGAGCGAGAGAGACAGAGAGAGAGAGAGAGAGAGAGAGAGAGAGAGAGAGAGAGAGAGAGAGAGAGAGAGAGAGAGAGAGAGAGAGAGAACACCACACAAAAAAAACAGTCTTCTCGCGAACAATGGTGGCACACACCTGCAGAACACGGTGGCGAACGGCGTCGGCGGCGTGGGGGGCGTCTTTGACCTCGAGGAGGCAGCCGAGTAGGAGGGTGGGGGTCGAACCGATTGACTGCCGAGCGCTCGCAGACCATCTCGGCGCGCTTCGAGCGCTTGCAGACCAAAGTCGGGGCAGAGCGCGGGGATACCTTGCTCAAGGACTCATGGATGCAGCGGCAGCGGGTGGCGTGGTCAATCGGGGGCAGTTGATCAGTTGATCTGTGATCCCACAAGTACCACTAACTGGTGTGTACCGTAGTACAGCTATGGTATGTGTGTTCACGTGAGTTCTATTCCATCAGGCATGGCCATGATTGGCATGCTGAGATGTGCAGTGCGAAATGTGCTGCTGTGTTACCTCGGCGAAGTGCTTGCGCATGCTGGTGGAAGCTGAAGCAAGACGATGCGCGGGCACCCGCTCCCAACCGCAGGAAAAGGATCACATAGCTCCCTCAGCTTCGAAGTAGTTGGAATCACCCACCACGGAGCAGCTCGTGCATTCGCGGTGGCCAACCGCGCGAGCGATTCCGAACCGCAGCAGCTGTATGATCGCCTCCGGGAGCGAGAGAGCATGGCAGTGATTAGTTGACCGCCTGAAGGTTACCCGCGGAAGAGAGTGGCCGCGAGAGCGCGCCCTGGGACCGCCTGGGGTAGCATAGCGAAACTGCGCAGCACGCTGTCTGGACACGCAGGCCAGGGGGCCCCGGGCATTCCCGCTGCAACAGAGTGAGCCCCGACTTAAATGGATTTCGTTTCCCTCGCAAGCATTGGAACGCCCTCTTCCTGCCCGTGACTCTGCTGGACATGCTAAGTATGTATTTGGGCCCGTCGTGCTATGACTGACGACGATGCCGGCCGCGAGCGAGCGAGCCCGAGAGAGCCCGGGGCACCGCGCCGCAGCTCGGTGGGGGGAAGAAAAAAATCAAACCGCTGCGCAGAAGCTTCGATGGAATCAGAAGAAGAGGAAGATGACGAGGAGGAGGAGGAGGAGAAGGAGGAGAAGGAGGAGGCGGGGGGGGATCTAGAGCCGCCATCTACAACCCGGCCCCAAATGTCACAGGGGATTGCAAGGGCTGGCCTGGGAGTGGCGAGGGCCAAGCTAGGTGTGACCGCGTCATATCTGACGTCCTACCCCTCCCTCCCATCCCTCACCATGGCGCTGATTTTCTCTATCCGCGGACGCGTGTCGTAGCGGACCTGTGGCTCCGCGCGCGCGTGCGTAGTGGGTGGTGGTGCGCGTGCGTGCGTGCGTGCGTGTGTGCGTGTGTGCGTGGTTGTGGTGGTGGTGGTGGTGGTGGTGGTGGTGGTGGTGATGGTGGTGGTGGCGGTGGTGGTGGTGGTGGGTGGTGGTGCTGGTGGTGGTGGTGATGGTGGTGGTTGTGGTGGCGGTGGTGGTGGTGGTGGTGCGGCGCGGCGGTGGCGGGCGGATGGGCGCGCGAGGAAGAGGCCCGCGCTGGGGCGAGAACGCCATCCTGAACGATGGAGGCCAAACGCCGATCCGAAAATGAGGCCCACGCTGCAGCGGGAGCACACTTCGGAACGATTCGGGGGCAAAAATGAAGCCGGCGCCTCAGCGAGAGTAGCATTTTTTCACAGACCAAAAAAAAAAACGCAAGCGAAAACCCGTTTCCCAGGAATCCTGCGTGTAACAACAGTACGCGGGGGGGGGGGGGGGGTCGGCCACCTGCGGGGCGCCATCAGGGGAAGTGGGAGAGTATTTTCATATTGTGTAATTGCAAAGAAGAGGAACAGAAAACGGCGCGCCTTAGGACAGAGCAGCAGCGTGCCCAGAAGCGCCAGGCCCAGCGCGAGCGGGGGCCTGATGCGCGGTGAGAGGAGCGTGGAGACGACCGGCCTGGAGATCCTGATTGCCGGGGCGATTTGCCTGCTGGAGAGACCGTCGCGACGCGCTAGGCCGCGGGGGGGCCCTCGTCCGCCGGCGCCGCAATTCTGGCCGGGGCATGGTTGAAGACGAGATGGATACCCTGCGGGGATGCACTGGTGACTGGCTGCGTTCTGGCCCCCGTGGAAAGTGGGCGGGCTCGGCGCCCGTAGAGGTCGCGCGCGCAAGTTCCCAAGCGCTATCACCTGTCATCTGGAGAACGCTTTTGTGACCAGGCACGCCGAGCCGGTGCTGCGGGTGCCATGCCGTATTATTTAGTGGAGACCTTGATGTGGACGAAGAAGCCAGAGCTCCGCGAAGGCCCTCTTCTAGAGACGCACATCGAGGGATTTTTTCTTCGAGCGCCAACGGATGCCGGCCTGGTCCGCGGTCGGCTGGAATTTGTTCGCCGCCAAAGGGTTCTCGAAGAAGATCTTGTAGCTCTGGTTCACAGCGTGGCATGCCACCTCAGCGTCGCCCGTGATCTCCGTGAACTGGCCTTCAGCGACTCGAAACGGTCCCGGCGAGTCTTCTGCAGGACCGGCCGCGGGAACGCGCCGATGAACTTGGGTCGGTGATGACACCGACGCGCCTCATTGGTCACTCCTGGCAACGGAATGAGCGGCGCCCAGCGCAGGCTGGGAGCCGCGGGCGGCTCGCCCCCTAACGCCGCTCCGGGCGGGCGTGGCTGCGGGCCGTTGCCCGACCGCAACGTCCACAGAGCTGCTCCGCGGGAAGTGGCATCTGGAACCGGGGCCAATGTGCTCCACAACGTAATTCAATAAGATGTTCTTTTCCTGCGAATTCAAACGCTGTTGCCGAGGTCAGGCAACGCGCCGCGCCGAGTTCGGGACGTGCTAGTTGCGGTGGTCGCTGATGGCATTTGGTTTCCGCTGGGAAAGCTGGCCTGTTTACTGTTTGGGCTCCATGGGCCAGGTCGGGCCACTCGCAGCGAGCCTCCCGCTCGAAGTTTGTTTAGAACTGCTCCGTTGGGCGGGGCTGTTTAACGTCCGCGTCGCAGTCTTCTAAATGCTCCTGGACGTGCCTCGCTACCGCATGCTCGCAGGCCCAGTTTAAGTTGGTCAAGTGGGGTGCCCGTTTTCAAAACCCTTCCTTTCAAACGCGCCGCCCGCCCGCGTGGTTTCTCTCGCGTGCTTCACTTACGCAGCTACCTTTGAGCTGCCGAAAGTCTTCCTGCCAGCGGGGTGGTGACCTGACCTCCTTCGGGGTGGGCCCACGTCTTACCACCTGTGTCGGTTTTCGCCTCATGTTGTGTGCGTATGAGCTTTCTCTCAAGCGCTGTTTCTTAAGCGCTTGCAGCTGATTCGCTGGGGTGTTGTATTCGTGGGGATGTTCTGGCTGCGTGTAAAAAAAAATGGGGTTTGCCGCAACCCGTTCGGATATTTCATTCCTCTACGTAGAGAGTTCAAGTCATCTGTCAGTTCGTCTCTCTTAATATTCTATTCGGTGCGCCTCACATCACTGCCATGCCTGTTCATTCCTCGAGAAGGAACCGACCAGGCAAAAGCCGTGCTGCCCGCTGACGTAGGTCTGGGCTCGAGGATGCTCATTTTCTGGTTTGGTCCAACCTGGTGGCCTGCTCGTCCACCCGCTGGTCCAAGGAATCTCTGCTCTTCGTCATCTCAACCTGCATGAAGTCTGGGACAGCGTTTTTGTAGGAGCCCATCATCTGCTGCATCTGAGGCAGCATGGCGTCCATGGCACGACGGAGGTGGGAGAGAGAAAATGTCCACCTGCGCGCGACAGGCAAGGTAGCTCATTGAAGTCGGCTGCCCGCTCCAGAAATGCGACGGAAGTTGCCCCCGACAACATTGAGCCAACGTAGCGATGGAAGGACGATAAGGAGGATGAGGATGAGGATGAGGAGGAGGAAGAGGAGGAGGAGGAGTTGGAGGAGTAGGAGGAGGAGAAGGAAGAGGAAGAGGAGGAGGAGGAGGAGGAGGAGCGGGAGGAGGAGGAGGGAGGAAGAGGAAGCGGAGGAGGAGGAGGACCAGGAGGAAGAGGGGACCAAAAGCAGGAGCCGAAGGAAGAGGAGAAGGGAGGAGGGAGGAGGGAGGAGGAGGAACAGGAGGAGGAGGAGGAGGAGGAACAGGAGGAGGAGGAGGAACAGGAGGAGGAGGAGGAACAGAAGGAGGAGGAGGACGAGGAGGAGGAGGAGGAGGAATGACAATAATAAGCGTAGTAACAAGATTCATAATAAAAAAGAACAATGATAATAATCATAATGCTATTCAACAAAAGAAAATTCATCTTCCCTCCACCTCCCCCCTTTCCTCCTCCCTCCTCCCTCCTCCTCCTCCCTCTTCTTCCCTCTCTCCCCTCCTCTCCTCTCCTCCTCCTCTGCTCGCCCCTCCCCTTCCCTCCTCCTCTCCTCCTCCTCCTCCCTCCTCTCCTCCTCCCTTCCTGATGTTCTTCCTCCTTCCCCTCTCCTCTCCTCTGCTCCTTCCTCCTCCTCCTCCTCCTCTCCTCCTCCTCCTCCTCCTCCTCCTCCTCCTCCTCCTGCGCTGTCCAGCATGCCAGCAGACGACACCCCTGGGGCCAGGCGGCTCCTCCGATCGGCCGGCGCCCGCGGGAGGGGCGCCCAGCGCGGGGCCGCCGTAGCTGGGCGGAGCCACCGGCGGGGGCGGAGGCGGAGCTCCTGGTGGCGCCAGCGAGGGCGGGGGCGGTACATGTTTGACGCTTGGCGAACTTAGATCAGCGCGGGGCTCCTCCTCCTGGCTCCTCCTCATACTCCTCGTCCTCCTGCTCCAGCTCCTGCTCCTCCTCGCCGATAGATCAGCGACAGGCCCGGCCCCCGATAGTGAATCCGACAGCTCCTGGGCAGGCTGGGGCTGCTGGGCACATGTCGGCGATTCATGTGCGATTGGCGGTCGATGCACATCCCCCCTATGCCCATCGCTCCCATCGTCGCCCCTGAGTGCCAAGATTCGCGAGCCAAAAGCTTCCCCACCTCCTCTAGAGGCCTTCTCGATGGGGTCGCAATAGATGGAGTTGGGAGATCGCGACGCATCGCCGATACATCGCCGATACATCGGCGATGCATCGGCGATGCACCGGCGATGCATCGTCGACGTGGGCGATGCATCGGCGACGTCGACGTGAAGCAAATCGGGCTCCACATCGAGCCGCATCGCCGATGCATCGTCGATGCAGCACGATCCTTCGACCCCATCTGCTCCGACCCCATCCAGGAGGCCTAGATCCTCGCTCCTGCGGGGCGGGCCCGCTGGGGCCTCCCGATCTCGGCTTTCGCTGCCGTCGGGGCTCTTGGAGGCTTCTCGTCGTCGCGGATGGACCCGCCCCCGACGGCGGGCCAGGGGGGGGCCCGGGAGGAGGCGGAGGAGAATGAGGAGGAGGAGGAGGAGGAGGAGGAGGAGGAGGAGGAAAAGGAGGAAAAGGAGGAGGAAAAGGAGGAGGAGGAGGAGGAGAAGGAGGAGGAGAAGGAGGAGGAGGAGGAAGAGGAGGAGGAGTGGCAGGAGAGCCGCCGTTGTCTCGGCTGGGCCGCATCTGATCCTTCATCCTCGGGGACACATGTCGGCGACGAGCGACGGGGGGAAATGAGAAGGAGAAGGCCTTCTCAGAAGGCGGCGGAACTTCTCAGAAGCCCTCGCGCCTTCGGAGAAGTTTTTGTTTTCTGTCTTCGGGGAATGCATGTCTTTGGGGAATGCCGAGAAAACTTCGGGGGACGTCCGAGCCTTCTGAGAAAGCCTTCTCCTTCTCACTTCCCCCCTTCGCTCGCTGCCGAAAATGGCGGATTCCGCAAACCCTGAACCTAAAAATGCTGAACATATTGTCACCTCTTGGGAAATCGACGTTTGCTTCCGCCGGCTTCCGCGGAGCTTCCGCCGGCCTTCCGCCGCGGAAGAGACGGCAACTCCTTCGATCCATGAAGGTAAGGCCCCTCTTCGGAGCGCCCCAAATAGCTGTCGCGCCTCATCCAACCCTCCGCGTCGGAGTGCGTGGAATGCGATGCGACGGGTGGCGGGCCGCGCGCTTGGGCCTGACCCGCCCGCGCCTCGTGAGAGCGGCGCGCCAAAAGTCGCACCGTCGAAGGGCCACTCTTCCGCGTCGCCGACCCTCTGACCCCCTGGGATTGATTTGTTCAATGCTGGCGCGCTTCTTCCGCTTCGGTCTCTCGAGGCCGCCTCCGGGCCCAGCCCCCCCGAAATCAGCACGCGAGGGAAAAAAACCTGCCCGCTGGGATGCGGTCGGGAGTTCCGGGAGCCGCGGGTCGGCGCCCATCCTCGCGGCAAGGGCGCCGAGGCGCCAGCATGGAAGACATCGGCAGAACAGCATTCACACGTCAAACTTATGCATGAGAGACGTCAGAGGAGGAGAAGGAAGAGGAGGATGAGGATGAGGAGGAGGAGGAGAAGGAGGAGAAGGAGGAGAAGGAGAAGAAGGAGGAGGAGGAGGAGGAGGGGGGGGAGGAGGGGGAGGCGGGGGAGGAGGAGCAGCCCAGGTGGATCTGTAGGTCTGGAGGGCTAACGCTTGAGAGCTCTGGCAGCTCGGGGCGGGGCGAGGCGGCCCGAGCGGAGGAGGCCCCAGGGGTGCGGCGGTGGCTTCGGGGCCTTCGTCGTCAAAGGGTCGGCCCCACGGTGAAGGCCACAGCCGCCTGCTCGCCACCTCTGGCTGCGGGTGGTCCTCTTCGGGGGGAGCGAGAGGGGGGGATGGCAAAGGGTTGGGCAGAGAATCGGCTCACGTGGCTGATTTTTCCAACGCCTCTTGGCGCCGTGAGGCGCCCATGTATCGAGAAATGGGCCCGGCGGTGGGGCCGAAACCGGCTGCATGCGGCAGATTTCGTACCCCCCCCTTTTCCTATCCCCCCTTTTCGTTCGGCCCCATTGAAGTCACGTCCGCGTGCTCGATACCTCTGGCTACGGGTGGTCCTCTGGAGGAGGGATTCTCGGGCGCACGGCGACACGAAACGGGGATCCATGAACCTGGCGCGTGGGCACCAGATGGATGGATCGGGGGAAGCACCCCCGAAACAGGGAGCCAAAATATCGCCTGACCTGGCACCGCGTAGCGCCGATTCTCTACGGAATAAGAGCCCGCCGCCAATCCGCGCGCCCTGCGCCATATTTCTGCGCTTCCTCGAAGGATGGAGGCGGATGTGCCTCCCCCCCCATGTCCCTTCCGCTGAGCGCGCCGGGGCCGACCGCTTTTCATCGCCGCCGGCTCTCCTCCCCCAAAGCCTGGGGCGCTCCGCGCCACGGGGTGCTCGGCCTCGGCGGCACTGGCGGGGACCAGCTTTCCTCTTCATCCTCCCCTATTCCCCCTTCTCCTCCTCGGGGCTCATCAGGGCTATTGAGATAGACAGTTATCGTGTTGGGAGGGTTGGGTAGATACATGATGTGACTGTATAAGAAACACCTTCAGCGTACACTAATATACGGATGATCCGATCATTTCTTCCAGCCCCATCCTCCCGACCAGATAACTGGGTTTCTGAACTATCCAAGGCCACGCTGACGGCGATGTTGGTTGACGGCGATGTTGGGAATCCGACTTTTGTGACGCCGAGCTCGCGCAGATCAAATGGTAGGAAATCACGAGCCGCACTTTCCTACATTTCAGATGTGCGAATGTATCGAGCGAGAACGACGCAGCGAACTGTAGGAAAACGCGAGCCAAGATGCCCTACAATTGGTTTGGCTACGAGGCACTCCCACCTACAATGCCGAAGCCTACATCGCCATTACCTACATCGCCGTTAGCTCGTCTGCGGACTTTGGCGGCGCGATGTTGTTGAAAAGACAACGGCTCCCGGCCGCCTCGACCCCTCCCCAGGGGCAGGTTTTTCGTCCTGAGCAGTTGCTCGACGGCCCCGAGGCCCGGAGCAAGCATCCAGAATGCCCAGAAGGTGAAACACTTGCCATTTCGGTTTTCGCAGATCCGCTGGGGATCTCTGTGCTCGCTGGTCCCTTTTCCTTTTCGTCCTCCCATTCTCCTTCGGCCACGAACCTCTGCTCCCGCGTGTCGCGGCAAAGGCCCCAGCGACAAGCTATAGGCCCTGCGAGTGGAAACAGCGTGCCGCTCCGCTCCTCGGGGTTGGGAAGCTGGGAGAAAAACTCGAGGCGTGGACGCTTGAGGTCTGGAACGCGGATACAGTCGGGCCGCTGTCACCGGGAACCTGAATAAAAAGAAGCGGCCCCCCTTCATTCCCTAACTTAGACTTCGAATTCCAATGGAAGCCTAAAGAGAACGTGACACAAGCTGTAAAACAATTCGCCCGGCGAAGGGCGCAATCATATGCAGTTGTGGGTACCGTCGTTATGCACCGCATTCGACGGAGCTCCCCTATGGGGCCACGAAACATGTGAAGGGTGTGCCAATATGGGTGCGGCGGGCGCATGCGAGCGCTGGCATTGGGGCCGTCGGTGGAGCTCCCTATGGGGCCACGGAACGTATGAGGGGTGTATCAAAATAGGCGCGGTGGCCGCATGCGAGCGCTGGCATGTGGGCCTTCGGTGGAGCTCCCTATGGGGCCACGAAGCGTGCGAGGGGTGTGCCAAAATGGGCGCGGTGGGCGCATGCGAGCGCTGGCATCCGGGCCTTCGGTGGAGCTCCCTGTGGGGACACGAAGCGTTTGACGAATGTGCCAATATGGATTCGGTGGCTGCATGCGAGCGCTGGCAAAGAAAGGTAGTGCAAGGACCAGCATGCCAAAGTACTCGGCCCTCATGAAAATCGCTAGCGGATCGGCTTGACCCGCTCGGTCGGCGTGAAATTCTCCCGCACGATGTATGCACCCAATCGAACGGATGCCACCAACATGCGAGATCTCTCCTCAGCACTCGGCGCGGCTGAGTAACATACCCAGCCACTCTTACTCGTAACTCGGGGCACCGTGGCCCAGAACGTACTACTCAGCTTCAACTCACGAGCCAACTCCTTTCTCATGTCCTCGAAATGCGGGCACTCCTGGAAAAGGTGGCGGAGGCTCGGGAGCGGGCAACTGCACCACTTACAGCATTTGTTCACCTGCATTCTGGTATACGTCTGACCTGCACCGCTCCGAAAAATCGTCACACTATGCAATTCATCAGCACTCAAGCTTTTGATGTATCTCTTAAATATCTGGCTACTACTCAAATCGACATCAACGTCCTCGATGCCCTGCACGTCTTTTCTCGTGAGATGTACTGCGCGCAGACAAGCCACTCGAGCCACGGCACGTGCAGCATGGGCCCCACCTGGGGCCTCAGTCCAGAACTTATCATGGGGGTCACGTACTTGGGCAGTCACACGGAGCACTCGAGGGTCAGCACCAGGAGGGACCCGAAGACAAACTCCCCATTCAGCGTTGTGGTCAATATACTCAAGGTGTATCTGTGCATAGTGGGCCACAAGGGCCTTCCTCAAGAACTCACTCTGGGCCAGGTTCTCGGAGCGGACGGATTTCATGATCTGGAGACACGGCGAATATAATGGATGAAGCTGTGCTCTCTGGGCCCACCAGCGGCCCGAACACCACCATGTATTTGCAGTTCTCAGTATAGCGTGAAAGAGGGCCCCAGGGGCCCATCGAGGCACTGGCTCGACCAGGGGGGTCGCCCAGAGCCAGAAGGGGCCTCACGTAGGCCGCAGCAAGTCTTTCCCGAACGGCGGCAGCCCCAGGGAACGCCTTCAGCACACCCACGGCCACCTCGAGCTTTTTCCAGCCTCCTCGAGGCCTGATCGGTTTGTCGGAGTCGGCGGGATCACACATCACCCCAAGATGCTCTATGTCATTATCCTTCCCCTCCTCCCAATACTGGCGCTTCGACTGGTTCTCCGCGAAACCTACGTCGTTGTCAAAAGCTTGAGTCAGAGCGAGGCCCTCTGCAAGATCCTGCTCAGCTTGGGCTCCGCCCGCCGTCAGCGAGCGGTCGTCCATGCATGCCCATCCTCGGGCGGGCTCCGCCCGCCAAGGAGTGAGCGTCGCAACCATTGCCCCTGGGGCACACGAATCTCCTTGAGGCAATCCTTTGGCCACCCAGAGCGGTGACGACAACTCATTCTGCACGCAACAGACTCTGGGTCCTTTCCAGGCGCACAGGCAAACATTAATAAGTGCTGCTGGGGTCTTCTCTGCTTGTAATGCTGCCACTGCTACATAGTGATCCACATTGTCATATGCTTTGCTCAGGTCCATTTCTACCCCTCTTGTGGCCCCAACAGAAAGCCATGCCGAGATAGCGTGGCTGACACTGAAGCCTGACTTACATGCATACTGGTTCTCCGCCGCTGTCGGCAGAGCAACTGCGAGTGCTGATAGCCAACATCTCACCAAGCTAGACGCCACTGAGATCGGCCTCGACTCATTCTCATCCTTCTTCGGGATCCCGACCACCCTCCAGACGAAGAGCTCCTTCAAGAGCCCAGCCTCGAGCTCCCCCTGGACCGACACCGCGTGGGCCGTGGTGTCACGCCAGAGGATGTACAGCTCATCTATGATGAAGGGGCGACTTTCAACAACAAGCGAACCTCGGAGGCCTTCCAACCGTCCATACCTTCCGCTCCTTTGCATTTCTTGATGGCTGCGGTGAAGCCTTCTTTTGTCGGGGCCCAATCGTCGGGCATGCTGCTCGTCGGGATCGGTTTGTTGTCCGCCCTTGCTTTTGCTTCCCACCGCTTCCAGTTGAGTACTTTGTTGTGGCTCTCGTACGACTCGGGCTTCCAGACGGGCTCCCACTCGGCCCTCATCCCCTCGCTGTCGAACCCAGGGCTAGGGGCCCCTGCTTTGAACACCGGCGTGGCAAGCTTCCAGAGGTCGTTAGACCACCCCCGAAACCGAGCTCCCCAATGCTTGCGTTTCTCATCAGCCACCAGACGCTCCTCGTACGTGATGGCTCGACTGACTACATCCAGCAACTGGCCGTGCGATGGCCACCCGTCTAGATGCCGAATCAACTTATCCTGCGCCGCTGCCGTGTAGGCGCTCATGTGCCTCAGGTCGAGGCGGGCGCCAGCACCCTGATGGGCACGGACTTGATGCAAACAGGCTCTATGTAGTCGGCGCAATCGTCTGAGAGCGACCGACTCAGCAAGACAATGAGCGGGAGGATGAGCACAAGGTTTAGCGGTAGGATCTGTTCCCTTATCCCGTTCAGCTGCACGTGCTACTTTAACCCATCCCCGAGCTGCTGCTTCTTCTAATGCGTGCTCAGCTCTAGCATGCCACACTTTCCATTTTGTCGATATGCCGATATCGAGTCGAGGCTTCGGGATCATCGAGTCACATGCTTGCTCGATCTGCTGCTGCTCATGCTCGTTTACGAACGCGATGGCGGCCTCCTCGAACAAGGCCGTGTGCCGAAGGCGTGTGAGAGGACGTTGCTGTACAGGACACTGGGACACCTCGAAGATACACATGCCGTGATGCGGTATGCCCTCGATGAAGTGGGTGCCTACGTGCTTGGGGGGTTCGCTTTCTTCAGCCATCCACCTCAGACATCTGGACGGGGATGTGCCAGCTGTCGTGGTAGGACACGTGTTTGACGTAATAGACCACCCAGGGCCCGCCAGCCTAGAATATCTAGAAACCCAATTGAGGTCCCCGACGAGGATGGTGTGGTTGCTCAGCTTCTGGGCCCAGTCGAGAGCCCTGCGTACCCAATTTATATCTCCCCGAACTGGCCCATATCCGCTCACGACGGCGACGGTCGCCGTCTTCACAGCTACAGCTCGATGATCGAGATCTTTATCACGTTGAACCGTCACCTTTCCGATACCTCTGCGCCACAGGACTGCTGTCCCGCCATGCCCCTGAGATCCAGACGACGACGGCGGAGGAGGAGGAGAACAGGCAACTCCCCACCCGTAACTGTTGGCCAGCGATACCAGCCACTTGGGCCGCAGTTCCCAATTCTTGATTTCTTGCCATGCCATGATGTCAACTTGCTTGATTTCCTTATGCTTGAAGATTGCTGTTGCTCTTGCTCTGGTCAAAGCTGTGACGTTTATCGAAGCGATCCTGCACGGTCCCGAGGTAGGAGTGGTAGGTTGCTTCCCAGATCCGCCGCCGAGCAGAGGATCTTGATTTGACGTGAGACATTCGACAGAAACTGCATTGGTGAAACCTTCCACAGAAACTGCATGAGTGAAACTTCCCACAGAAACTGAATTAGTGAAACTTGCCACAGAAACTGCATTGAAGTAGTGTATGATACCCAGTACCATGCCATGCGTACCAGCGCCCAGCCGCAGTACTCCACCATCCCAAGACATGGTATCTGTATGCGTCCTAACGCCGTGGCGACGTAGCCCGACTGACGCAGGCTCGAGGAGCACCTGCCGTCGGGACTTGCGTCCTAACGCCTGCCTCTGGAGCACGTGAGGCTGCGCTCTGACTCTGAGTGGCGACGTGAGCCCAACACAGGCAGGCTCGAGGAGCACCTGCGTTCGGGACTTGCGATCTAACGCCTCCTGCTGTGGGTGACGTGCTTGCGTTCTAACGCCTTGTGGCGACGTGAGCCCGACCAGCACAGGCTCGAGGAGCACCTGTGGACGGGACTTGCGTTCTAACATCGGTACTGGCTCCACGGCTAGTCAAGACGAAGCTGGCGTAGCTGCTGCTGCTGCTGCTGCTGCTTTCTTCGCTCGATGCCTCCGCTTCCAGTATTCTTCCATCTTCGCATGCCACTCGGGATCCAGTGTCCGCCTTTCAGCTACTCTGGCTCGCCGCTGCTCGTTCACCTGTGCTGTCATCCTGTGCGTGGCGCGGTGCGCCTTGGCATAGGCATCACGGGTGGCTCGGTACTTGGTACGTGCAACTTCTGCTTTGGCTTGCTTCCATGCGTCGTGCTCTGCAGGCTGGGTTCGCCGCTGCTGGGCCCGTCGAAAGGCCCTGTCTCGGGTCTTATCCAGGATCTGCTTGCCTCTGTTCTCACCAGCGGCCACCTGGAGCAGCTGCTTGATGGTATAGCGCACTGGGCGCTTAGTACATGGCTGGACCTTCGCGTTGGAGATCCTCTTGTATACTCCACATCTGGTGCAAATAAGATTCTTTTGCCTCCTTTGTCCCACCACTCGTAGCAGCCTGGGCAACGTCCAACTCGCAGAAGGCATCACGAAACTCAGGAGGCTTACTCATTTTCCATTGGATATACCGAGCTTGCACCGCCTGGCGAGTGCGAACTCGATGGCTGGCTTCTCGGCGGATGGCGGCCGACTTGGCCCACTGCTTCAACTCACTCTGTGGTGGGGGCTCACCTCTGCAAGCGCCCCAGTGGCGCTTAGCCTCACACCTCTGCTTGGATGACGACGTGCCTGGTGTCGGTCTCCACCCACACGTGGGGCACCTCAAATGATCTCCAGGCTCACGCAGCGCAGGATCATCCAGCTCATCATCCGATTCTGGTACTCCGAGAGCCTCGCGGGCCCTCTTCGTCGTAGTCGAGCCACGCGCCAGTGAAGCTGACGAGCTGGCCACTCCGAGAGCCTGACGGGCCCTCTTCGTCGTAGTAGAGCCGCCTGCCACACTGCGTCCGCCACCTTCAAGGTTGACAGGGTACGGTAACATGGCCTCTTTCCACTTCTTCATGGTAGCAACATCGACTGGCTTCTTTAACACCAACCGCTCATAATGTTTACTTTCCAACACCATCATTACCTGCTGCTTGGGTCTCTTCGCGAACTGCTGAGGAGGCCCATGCAACATCCAGTGTCCACCACTTGCTATTGCCCAGATGAGAATCTCAGTTTTTGTTGCCAGAGCTGCAGCCAGGACACCAATACTGTTGAACATCGTTTTGCTCGTGGCGAGGGACGTGATCAGATCCGCCCCCTTCTCGAGGTTGTAGGTCTTGGGATTCTTGGCGATCTCCTTGGACACCAGACAGCGTACAATGCCTGGGATGCGACCACCAACGGCAACGTCCTCGGCGGTCAGCGGCTTCGACTGTGGCTTCAGATCGTTCAATGCCGATCCCAGCGCGATCGGGAAGCAGTCTCCTCCTCCCACGTTCTCTTGACGAGCAGCAAACTCAGCGAAGGGCTCGACGGAGGTGACCTTCGCTTTCTTGATGCTCTTGGCGGCCAGCGGGGGCCCCTGCTGCTTCTGGCCGGCGGTGGGTCCAGCTGCGCCTTCAGCAGCTGGTGCAGCAGCAGCTGGCGCGGCAGCAGGGCCACTCGCAGCGGCTGATGCGGCAGCGGGAGTCTCCTCCAGCACCACGTCGTCGTCCACGCCGTCCTCGGCGTCGTCGTCCTCGCCCAGGCGTGGCCTGGGCAGCGGTGTGCCCCATGCCGACTTGGGCTTGGCGGCACCTTCTCCCTTCTTCTTGGGGTTGGCGTTCCTGATGACCATCGACACCAGCACGCCCGACGTGAAGGCAAAGGCGCTCTGCTCCGAGGCGCCCTCCAGATCTCCACGAAAGAACCACTTGCGAACTCCAGCTCTGGAAACGGCTTGGATGTTCTGGAAGCCTCTGGCCTTGGCCCAGGCCTCGAGGTCCTCTGGGTGGGGCCATGAGTCGAGGCCTCGAGTGACGATCCATCTCGGCGGTATCGAGGACGGGTCGGCCACAGACGCTTTATCATATATGATGCCAAGGGGCGAATCAATAGAGGGGCGGTACACAAGGCGAGCACCTGCGGCCTGTCCGTCGGCCAACGCCCGCACACGACGATAGTACACCTTCGGATCCTCATCATCCTTTTGCTTGACAAAACGGGGCACTTTCTTGGACTGCTGCTCAGTCAAGAATACACCCGCTGGAAGTACTGCTGACATCAATGTAGCTCGGGACTCTTCTTTCAAGATCACCACACACGTAACCTCCGTTGAGTAATCGATGGCCCCTTTGACTTTCAATATACTTTTACATTGAGCTGAATCGAAGACCAGAGCTGGTAATGAAAGAGGGTCTCTCTGGGCCCTGCCATACATTTCCCCATCAGCATATGATCTCGCAATCGTGAGTCTGGCATTGAACGTGGTGATCTTGGCAGGTTTCTCCACGTCGTCCTTCAGATTTGCAGGCAGCGTAGCCTTCTCAGGCGCACCGTCACCATCAGGGATAATCCACGCTTTGACCTGCTGCGGGCCTTTCGACCCATCAATAAGTACATCAGAATACATAGCTGTAGGCTCCTCAACCCAAGACTGCAGCCCGTCATTCTTGGCGAAGACCACATACGTGAGTGGATGCTCAGCTCCGGTAGCTCTCTTCCACTCCTGTGCACGGCGTAGTTCAGATTCGTTCTGACAAGTCACAACTGCAGGCCCTGCAAGTAACTTATCCTTGATCGACGAGGCTGGAAAATAGAGACCCCCTTCCAAGCCAGAGACCACAACCTGTGAGTTGTGCGGGCTGGCGGGGAGCTGACCTTGGGAGCAGCTGTCGACGGAGCTGCTCGAGAAGTGAAGGTGTCGATCATGCTCTTCAGCGTATCAATCACCTCGGAGTCGGACGGGGCGTACTTTGCACCATCTGCTTTTCTCAGAAGACTGCGTATCTGAGCAAGCACGGGTCCGTCTCCGTTCTCAGCGTCAGGATTGCCTTTGTGCGCTGACTTCGGAGTATCTGTAGTTCTCTGCCGCGGCCTCTTCTTTTTCTGCACTGAGATTTGCCCCTTCAGTGCGTCAAGTTGAAGCTGCATCATAGTCATCAATGAAGAAAGGGATGACTGTGTCGCCTTTGCCCTGGACACAGCAGCACCGTTCTTCCCCCCTTTGCGACCCCCGTCGCCGCCACCCAGCAGTGGGTCAGCTTCGTCATGGATGGGAGGCTTCCCCGCCTCGAGAACCATACTTGAATTCTGGTCGGCCTTCACGGCCGTACATTTGACACCCAGGTTCGCCTCGCTCAGGGCAAGCGACCCGTCGACCGCGAGGACGCTGCAATCAACGTCCAGGAGCGTGGTGTCGTCGTCGACTGCGAGCGCTGGCATCTTGGCCTTCGGTGGAGCTCCGTATGGGGCAACGAAGCGTATGAGGGGTGTGCCCAAATGGGTGCGGCGGGCGCGTGCGAGCGCTGGCATTTGGGCCTTCGGTGAACATCCCTATGAGGCGATGATACGTGTGACTGGTGTGCCAAAATGGGTTCAGTGGCTGCATGAGAGCGCTGGCACCCAGGCTTTCGGTGAAGCTCCCTATGGGGCCACGAAACGTGTGAGGGGTGTGCCAAAGCGGGTGCGGCGGGCGCGTGCGAGCGCTGGCATCTTGGGCATGCGGTGGAGCTCTCCATGGGGCCACGAAACGTCTGAGTGGTGTGCCAATATGGGTGCGGTGGCTGCGTGCGAGCGCTGGCATCTGGGCCGTCGGTGGAGTTCCTTATGGGGCCACGAAAAATGTGAGGGGTGTGCCAAAATGGGTGCGGCGGCCGCATGCGAGCGCTGGCATTTGGGCCGTCGGTGGAGGTCCCTATGGCGCCACAAAGCGTGTGAGGAGTGTACCAAAATTGGCGCGGTGGGCGCATGCGAGCGCTGGCTTTTGGGCCTTCGGTGGAGGTCCCTATGGGGCCGCGAAGCGTGCGACGGATGTGCCAACAGGTGCGGTGGCCAGGTGCGAGCGCTGGCATTATGGGGCAACGAAGCGTATGAGGGGTGTGCCAATGCGAGCGCGGTGGCCGCATACGAGCGCTGACAGCTGGGCCTTCGGTGGAGCTCCCTGTGGGGCCACGAAGCATATGACGGGTGTGCCAAATTTGGTGCGCTGGCCGCATGCGAGCGCTGGCATGTGGGCCCTCGGTGGAGCCCTCTATGGGCTGCGAAACGTTTGAAGGGTGTGCCAGAGTGAAGGGGGTGACGGGAGCAGGGAGGAGGAGCAGCAGGACTAGAGGAGAGGATAATGGACGCGGGGATCTCTCTTCAAAACGGGGACCCAACACCACAGGATGGCTGGGAGTTAAGGAGCACTGGACCCATCCCCAACGAGAAGGGTCCCTTCTTCAACGGCCCGAGTGTAGCGTGTCGAACCGAAGCATGGCGGCCAGAACCCGCTAGTCCAAAGGTGCTGGCCGTGCATCCTACTCTTATCCCTCGTCCTTCGCACCCATTGCCGCTCACGACGGCGGGCGGCGGGTGCATCCTCAGATCGGCGCGCCCTCAGTACACCGTGGACACGGAAAGGCCTTTCTCTGCTGTTTTCAAAAAGGTGCCTCAAGCAACTGCTCGCTGAAACGGTAAGTTATCCGGGCGAAGAACCCGATCATAAGCAGCTGTGGGCACCGATTTCGGTAGCACTCCCTCTGGGGCCACGAAGCGTATAGAAGGCCGGGGTGGCGCCATGCGGACGCAATAGTTGGGGCCTTCGGTGGAACTCCTGCTTGGGCCACGGAGCGTATGAAGGGTGTGCCACAATTGGTGCGGTGGTGCGACGCGAACGCAACCGCTGGGGCCGTGTCAAGGGTGTGCCGGATCGTGTGCGGTAGCGCCATGCGAACGCAACCACTGGGGCCTTCGGTGGAGCTCCCAATGGGGCCGCGAAACGTTCAAGCGGTATGCCGAAACGTGTGTGGCGGCGACTCTTGCTTAGGCCATGATCCGTGTGAGGTGTGTACGGGACAGGGTGCGGTGGTGCCATGCGAACGTAACCACTGGGCCTTTCGGTGGAGCTCCAAATGGGGCCACAGAACGTGTAAGCAGTGTGCCGAAACGGGTGCGGCGATGCCACGCGGTCCCTTCCATAGGGTGCTTCGGTGGGGTGCTCTATGCGGCGACGGATCGTGTAAGGGGTGTGCCGAAATGGCTGGGGTGGCGCCATGCGGACGCAGCCACTGGGGCCTTCGGTGCAGCTGCTTGCGGAACCACGAAGCGTGTGGCGGGTGTACTAAAATGGACGCGGCGGTTCTATGCGAACGCAACCACTGGGGCCTTCGGTGGTGCTCCCTACTGGGCCACGAATCGTGTAATGGGTGTGCCGAAACGGGTGCGGCGATGCCATGCGAACGTAACTACTGGGGCCTTCGGTGGAACTCCCTCTACGGCCACAAAGCGTGTGAGGGGTGTGCCGAGACGGGCGCGGCGGCGCCGTGCGAACAAAACCACTGGGACGTTCGGTGGAGCTCCCCATCGGGCCACGATGTGTGTATGTGTATGCGTGTGTGACGGGTATGGGTATGTTGAAATGGGAGCGGTGGGGCCATGCAAATGCAACCACTGGGGCCTTCGGTGGAGCTCCTTCTAGGGCCACGAAACGTGTGATGGGTGTGCCGAAGTGGGCGCAGTGGTGGCATGCGAGCGCAGACACTGAGGTCTTTGGGTGGAGTTCCTTCTAGGTAACGATATGACCATGCGGGGGGCAGATGCAGAGATGGGAGGAGGGAGACCCTCGACCTTCGACAGCGTGAGGCTCATTGTCAGCCTGCAAAAGAGCAGAACAGGAATCGCGCGGGGCGCGGCAGAAGTGCAAGGAAAGCCTGGGGGCGAGCGCCCCCGACCCAGGCGTGAGACCACACCAGGTGGGAGGCAGGGGCACGGGAAGGGAGAAACGACTGCATGGCACTTGAGACAAAGAGGCCTGAGACAGCACAGTGACTCTCAGGCGACCTGCATGACGGATGCCCCTGTAAAAGGGCATCCCAGATATCCCAAAGCTTGCAATGCAGATGTGGGCAGTCAGCGCTAAGCCACTCGGGGCGAGCACGAGCACCGTAGGAAAGTAACGGCAACGCGAATTCTTGGTGTGCGCAGGTAACAGCACAACGCCGATTCCAAGGCGAATAAGGGGGCCCAGAGGGGAAGCAGGCGGAAAAAAACGCCCCTAACAGGAAGGCTGGTTTGGGCAGCAGAGGTGGCCGAGACCCCATGTGTACCAGTGCAAGCTAGCATCGCACGTAGCGTACAAGAGGCGAATGCGCTGCCGAATGATCACGATGGCACTGCCTGGTTGAATGAATGGATCTGACCACGACTGATAGAAGGCTGTAACCAATAGAACGGGACAATGACAAAACGATTCGCGCGGGTTGGACGCTGGAAAGGACAGCCAACGAACAGAGAACTTGAAAGTCCGACATAACGCCAGATTATTATCGCAACAACAAACCATGACTGAGAGTCAATTGTGCGAGGGCAGGCTTGCGTCAAGCAACAGGAACGTCAACGGGCTTTGCTGTTAGGCATGTCGGGGAACTCCTGAGATCTTCGACCGAACCGAGAAATCAGAAAATCCTCCTCTTCTGCAGGGGAGACCTCAATGCAGCAAGCACGGCGCCTGAACCGTTTGCCTGCTGCACATCTTAGCGCTGCGCCAACACCCATCGTGTGTGATGTGTCAGCAGAAACGGTACGCTGGTGGCCTCATGGGCACGCATCTGGAACTATAGAACCACCCGCTATTCGCTCGCGTAACGGGTCAAGACCTGTTCTTGCACGAGTTGTAAGTAGGAGGCCGCGCAACGCTAAAACTATCACCCCCGTTCCGCTGTGGTTGACGAGCTCGGGGCTGGCAAACATCGCCAGCGGGCAATTGGCAATGGGGGCCCCTCATGCTCTGCCAGCGCGCAGCACTGTGCGGCATGTTCGAAAGAAGGTCCGGTAAGCGTGGCCGGGAGATACACGTCGTTCATATCTAATCGTGCTCATTTCTAAGTCTGCTCGTTTCTAATTGCTCCTGACCCCCTAAGGGCCAGGAAGAGGCCCAGGATAGAAGAATTAGAAATGCAAGGATCTTGGCCCCCAAAAAACCAAGGAAATCTCGAACAATTAGAAATGAAGAATGTGTATGCGTTGACGTCTCCGTCGCGAACCCCCTGGTGAGCCTTCGTCTTCGCAGCGTGCCCCTCTTGCATCCGATGCTCTCCTGACGGGGGCGAGCCGGCGCGCGCTCCCTTGCAGCGCGCCCGGGCTGTGCGTCGGCGCAGCTGCCAGACATCGCAGCCTGCACGACTGGCTGCTCTCGCTCCACGTCCGCTCTGCCAGTCTTGAGGGCGCGAGCGCCCGCTCAGCTCAGAGACCCACGGCGCCTGGGGCGCGACTGGGGGCGGCCCGCTGGGGCAGGGGCGGAGCGGCCGAGCACGAAGGCACCGGCGAGACCTGACGCCCGCGCCAGCGTGCCTTTTGCCTGCACTGCCTGCCGGGGGGGGGGGGCCTTCGGAGCGCGGCGCCCGGCAGCTGCCTCTCGAGGAAGAGCGGGGCCGAGCCGGCGGAGCCGATGGGGGCGCCCCGTTGGGGCAATTAGGCGAAGGGGGGCGCCTCCTTGCACTGAGCTCTGATGCTCGCGGCCAGTGCTGGCCCTGTCTGAGTCAGGGGTGGACCGGCTCCCACGCTTGAGACGACGCACCGCCGGCGGTCTTTCAGCTCGGGGGGGCGTCGGCCGCCCAGCCTGTCGGAGCCGAAGCCGCTGGGCGGAGTCAAAGGAGCAGTCGATGAAACAGCAGGTCCGTCTCCGGGGGCAAGTGTACTGCTCAAATTATGTTGCTCCCATCGTACTTAAGGACCCCATCCCAGCAATAATTCCGAGCACCCAGAGGGGTGTTGAAAGAGTGTCGAAACGGTTTCGAAACAGTGTCGAACGAGTCTCCCAGGGCCCGACACGTGAAAACCCTCTAGTTTCGGTACTTTTTCTGGTGTTCCAAATTCTTTCTGGTGATCAAGGCTAAAGTAGGTTGGAACATCATAATGCTCAGATCGAGCAGAAGAGATGGGAGCAGGAGCGGAAGGTGGAAGATGTTGTCCGCCTGCGTCTCGCCCTTCCACTGGGCGCTCAGGCCCCGCTCTCGCCACACGCACCAGTGCCGTCAGACTTCCAGGGAGCCCCCGTTAGGTCGCGGCAAGCATTCTACAATCTCCCATCTCTAGTTACTCGTTGCTCCCGCACCCTCCTTATCTGTCGTTCTGATAGTGCCACTCCCTGTCCTCCTTCCGTCCTCCATTTCCTCCTCCTTCTCCTTGCCTTGCTCTGCCCTTCCATGTGCATACCAAATGTGAAGATTCTTCTGTTCAGACTCCACGCGCGCTTCAGACTCCGCCTGTTTCCCCGCCTCCCCCCTCCTCTTATTCCCCCTACAATAGCAATACTATTCCAGATAAGAGGAGGAGGAGGAGGAGGAGGAGGAGGAGGAGGAGGTGGAAGCAACGAACAGGAGGTCACGAGAAGTTCGGGACAGGGGGCGCTCCTCTCCCCCCATCCCCTCCCACCCCTTCTTATCGCCACCTCCTCCTCATCCCACCACCTCGTTGTCCTGCTGTTCCTCCTCCTCCTCCTCCTCCTCCTCCTCCTCGTGCTCCTCATGCTCTTCCTCCTCCGTTTTTGTGTGATCCCGCCAGGTCCTGGACATGAGCGCGATGACACTGCCCGCGTGTTGGCCGTTGCAGGGGGCTGTCGTGAAGGCGTACGAGCACTACTGCAAGAATAAGGAATCGCAGGCGTTTCCGCCTCCAGGCCATATCGTTGAGGTGAGCTTCTACATGGCACTGGGGCCAGATACGGTGACAAAGTGGCAGCGCGACAACCTGGACACGTTTTTCCTTGTCTGGTTCATGCTCGCTCGCGACGTGAAGGACGACCCCGAGAAATTGGGCAAGTTGAAGGAGGCGGCCCTCAACATCCCGATGGGTTCACAAAGCGGAGTCACGACAGTGAGCGGATGATGAAGGTGTACCAGCTGAAGGAGGACGAAGAGAATAATGCAGACCTCTTGGGCCATTCCCTCCTGAGCAGATCCCGTGAGCTAGCGGGGCTTCAGGAACATCTTCGTCCTCATCATCAGGCCAGCAGCCCCCCTGCACTCGAAGAGAATTTCAAGAGTAATGGCGGCATCAGCTGGGCGCGCAAGGAGACCGCGATGAGTCTGTACACCATCAGGCTGCACCTCCGCATCCTCAAACGCGATGGCAGTTGTTGACGTCGGCGCTCTGGCTTACCCGAACTCGGCGCTCTACTATTTTGACCGCAACGAAGAGATCTGGGGGCGTAGGCGTCAGAATATGGCAATGCAGGAGATGGGCAGGACCCTTGATTCATTTCAGGCCGCAGTTCCAGACCTTGGAGACCTACGCGTGGTGGCAGAGACCTATCATATCATGCTTCTGCGTAGATACAATGTGAAGGCGACTGGCAGGGTTGATCCTGAAACCGCCAAGGCCATCCTGAAAATGACGAAGGTCCCTACTGCGTTGTTGCCCAGGTACCCTTTGTTCGAGTCCGCGCTGCCAGTCTACAAGACGTTGAAGAGCTTCCACGAAGCATACCCAATGGTCATGGACCTTGATGGCAAAGAGTTGCCCGCTAACGCTACTCACGTTTACCCCATCCTTGGGGAGGGCACTGCGGAGAAGCTGAACTCAGAGATCTTGCTCCCTACGAGGTTGTTCAATAAGTTCCAGGCCTACTTCGGACACGCCACTGCTTTGCTCGTTCCCTTTTATCAAAGACATGATACCAGAGTTGGATCAGGTCTACCAGACGGACGTGGCGGAGCGCAGGGCGAAGGAGCGCGCGGCGCGGGGTACGCTCGAGGATGTCGACGTGGCCATGAGCTGCGAGGGCGAGTTGAAATCCGAGGACGAGGCCAAGTCTTTGTGAAAAGTCTTCGAGGAAAAGACGAAGCAGGAGATGCTGGTCATGGCTGACGAGTTCTTGAAGGCCAACGTTGTGTTCACGAAGTGGGTTGGGGGCCTTTTCGGACCAGATCGAGAAACAACCAATGATTGCAACGGGGGCTTCTCGCTTGTGGTGGTTCAGCGCGGGCACCGACAGTGCGGATGACCACGACAATAAAGCATCGGGGTGGCGCATGAAAGCAACGCCCGACGAGGACCACATCGCCCAGACGATCGACATCACTGCGTCGATGATCAACGAGACAGATCCCGCCATGACCGTCAGCGGCCGCAACAAGCTCTTCCATCGTGACGCAAAGAAGGTGGTGATGGCGTGCAAGCCCAGACTTGCGATCAAGGAGCTGGAGATGCTGCCAGACGAGAGCGAGGTGTCGCAGCGCCTCCGCGTCGAGACCAGCGTAGTTGGCACCGTGGACCTCACCGACCAGTACCTGCAAATCATGAAGACCAAACGCGCCATGGACGCGAAGAAAAGAATGCCTCGGCGATTCGTCCCAGGGAACACGGCGTTACGGGTCATGGCTGGCATTCCCGTGGTGTCCAGAGAGAACGCGGTGTAGGTGTCGGTCACCGACTGCGAGGCAGTCTTCAAGCACGTCTGCGGCTCCGAGAAGTGGACCCCCGGGGTCAAGTCGACCTCCAAGGCTCAGGAGTTGTCCGACGACGACGGCGGCGACGACGAGGGGCAAGGTGAAGATGTGGTGGTCGATCCCCTGGACGCGATTGTCGGCACCAACGCGGCGGTCGCCCTGTTCTGGATGGAGTTGCACTTGAGGGTCCCCCTTTGCAAGGGTATTTGCCAAGCCCCATCGTCGACGCAACTATGCATAGGTCCATGGCATTTCTCCTGGCTACCCTACTCTCTTGACTTCATGTCGATATCCACTGCGTTAATTCATGTTCTACTCTACCCACGCTTGGAGCTCTTGCAGCTGCAGCAGAAGCCATGGAAAGCCATAGGCCTATCGACCGTCGTAGGCAGTACCTCTACTAAACCTGTAACTATCCAGGAGCTCCCATGGGAACGTAGCGAGCAGATGTTAGTGTCTGTGGCAGTGTCATCTCAACTACCTCTCCTCCAACTTCTGCTTCTCCTCCTCATCCTCATCCTCCTCCCCGTCCCCCTTTCCTCATCTTCCACCTCCTCCTCTTCCTCCTCCTCCTCCTCATCCCCATCCTCCTCCTCATATTCCTCCTCCTCCTTTTCTAGACGTCAATGGGGACTTGCGTCTCACAGGTGTGCGCTCAACTTCTACCCCGAAAACATAATCCGCACAAGATCTCGCAACTTCTTGTTGAGTCTTTTGGTTCAGTTTCGGAATGAAGGCTTCTTCCTCCTCCTCCTCCTCCTCCTCCTCCTCCTCCTCCTCCTCCCTCCTCCTCCCCTCCTCCTCCTCCTCCTCCTCCTCCTCCTCCTCCACCCTCCTCCTCCTCCTTCTCAGCTTGGGCGTCATTTCAGGATCGGCGCGCTGCCCCCCTTTTTTTCAGGAGGTTGCTGCTTTTCTCTTCCAGCGCCCTTACCTGTTCCTCCTGATCATCCTCACGCTCATCCCCTCCTCCTCCTCCTCCTCCTCCTCCCCTCCTCCTCCTCTCCTCCTCCTCCTCCTCCTCCTCCTCCTCCTCCTCCTACTCCTCCTCCTCCTCCTCGTGCTGCTCCTCCTCCATAATGACTCCTCCCTGTCGCACCCCTAGACGTGTCGTAAGGACGGGCGGGGCGTTTCGTCTGAGGCGTCCTCACTAGGTCTGATCCTTCAGCTGGAGATTTGCAGGAGCTTCACGGATGGAGGGCCAGTTTTCAAAATAAGGCTCTCGCCTAAACTCCGCACACATTCGTCTTATAAGTTGGCAGCAGTTTCACGAGTGGAGTGCGCGTTGTTTTCAAACTGTTGCTCTCGCATGAGCGCCGCGCGCATTCGCCTTAAACAACTGCAGGCGCTTCACGGATGGAGGGTCGGCGGTTTCCAAAATGAGGCCCTCGCCTTACGGCCGCGCAGCCCCACCTGCCCTCTGGGCGTGGATGGTCTAGGGAGCTTTCTCTTCCAATCCCCTTGCTCCCCTTCAGGGACGGGTTCACCCCCCCTTTACCACATCCCTTGGACTTGGACGGAGGATTTCACGAGGGGTTGGAGCGTCCAAGATGGCCAACGACGGCTCCAAGGGGGCCTCAGAGAGTACAAGATGGCCTCCAAGATGGCTCCAGATAGCGCACGGTCGCTCAAGATGGCTTCCAATATATTCCAAGAGGCCCCAAGACCGCCTCAAGGCGGCTCCAATGCCCAACGAGCTCCCCACCTCCTCTTCCTCCTCCTCCTCCTCCTCCTCCTCCTCCTCCTCCTCCTCCTCCTCCTCCCCCACCTCCTCCTCCTCCTCCTCCTCATCCGCTTACTCCTCCTCCTCCCCCCTGTCTCCTCCTCCTCCCCCACCTCCTCCTCCTCGTCCTCCTCCTCCTCCTCCACCACCACCTCCTCCTCCGCCTCCTGGTTCTTTTCCGCGTTCTCCTTCGCCTTC